AAAGAGAAGTAGCCACAGCGACCCATTCACACAGGATAAGGAAGAAACCTGGGGCAGGACAGAAATGGAGGGCAGGGAACAGGCATCTGCAGGGATGCTGGGGTAGCACCGGGGCCAGGAGAGTCAGAGGGCAAAGCCAGCAAGGACAGGCACGCAGTACAGCACTGTGGTGCAGTGTCACGGCTTCCCTCTGCTGGCAGACCCCCTGTGCTGGGATCAGGGGACAGCAACCTCCTCTAGATACCTAATGTCTCCCACCGCCTCAGGTTGGAGCCAGGGGACCCTCTTTGCCCAAGCCACGTGCCCAAGCTGCTTGCCAGCACGCTGCTGCCGTTTGCGTGGAGGGGCAGTGTGGGAGCTGGAAGCAGGGCACGGCACAGGCCAGGGCAGAACAAGCTGGGCACTGGGTGGGGAAAAACAGGCATTTCCAGGTCTGGCTCAAAATTCCAGCTGCCCTGGTTTTCCAGGTCAACCCCATCAGATCTGCAAGCCGAGGTGTGGAGACGCGGCTGGCACGGACTGTCCTTACCAAAACACACTTCCCGGGCTCCAGGCTCCAGAGGGAACTCTCCGTGTTGATCTTGTGGGTGAGCTTCCCTTCCATGAGGACGCGCTGGCTGCCCCCCTCCAGCACCGCTACGCGAATCGCACTGCTGCTGATATCCACAGACACCTGGAAACACAGAGAGAGAGTGGAGCTAATCGGGAAGGTTCCTGCTCGCCCTCCTGCCGTGCTGGCTGGGGTGCGGGGTCAAGTGCACTCGCTGGGGATGAGAGAGAGAAGAGCTCTCAGATCTCTGTGGAGCAGGAGGGTGGGACTCCCGCTGTCGTTTCAGAGCCAGCAGCAACAGCTCTGAGGAGAAAGCAAAACTCTCCGGGGAACAAAAGGCAGCAGGGCCCAGCAGACACAGCCCTGGAAAGGTCCCAGGCCACTGGTTCTGCCACTGCAACTGCCTCATGCCTCAGTTTCCCCACAGAGAAAACCAGCAACACTACATGTCTCCTGCGTACAGCGCCCGAGGGTCGGACGCCCCATGTGCTGTGCCCACAGTCAGGAGCACAGCAGGTGCCCGGCCACCACCCTGACGAGCTGGGGATGGGTGTGTGAGAGGGCTGAGCGCTTCCATGCCAAGCAGCACTGATTCGGGGATTTCTACACCAGGGAGGGCCGCAGCGGCTTTTCCCCCCTCCCGCTGCCCCACCACGCTCCTTGGCTCCGCTTCCGCCGCCCGGGCCATGGCAGGGCTCAGCCCAGGCCTCCCGTCGGGGTGCGAGGAGGGGCTGTGTGCGGGAGGGACGTGGCAGCTCCATGTCCCCAGGAGTGGGGCCAGCTCCCGCCCACAGCAGCCATATGGGGAACCCTGCTCCGACCTGCTGTGGAGGTGACATGGCTCTCCCCTGGGGAGACAGAGGCAGACTGTGCCTTCGCTGCGTGGCACGCGTACCCTCACTCTCCGAAGAGACCATATGTTCTCTCCGCTCCCCTTCGGCCCTGAGCGGAGCCCGAGCAAGGC